CCGGAGATTCTGGAAGTATCGTAGTCTAGTCCCAATGACGTAATTCCGATGCCCGAACAATCGTTCCCCCGAGGGTTTCGTTGGGCTATCGACTTCTCTGAGATAGACCGCATTAGATTCAAGGAGGGGAAATGGGTAGTAATTATAGGAAAATCATAGCTCGGACAGAAAAAAACATCACTTAATTGTCGTCTGAGACGATAGGCATGCTATTTGGTTCGCGAGCCAAGCAGAGGAATTCCCGTCTATACGGGGAATTAAGAAGCAAATGATGGTCTTTGTGCAAATCTTAATCAGTCTATACTATACAACACCCTAACCCCAGATTTTTAAGGTGTCCATGGGTGCACTTGCCGAGAAGACGCTCCTTGGTATCCGCGCCGATGTGTCAGCCACACTTCAGGTGATTTCATAGTGGATATTGACGAGGTTTCAGCTTTGGAGTTATTGATCAAACTGAAAAATGCATCGAAGTAAAGTGTTTTTCTAAGCTTTCAACATGCTAATTGTGCTACAATTTAAAATCGGATTTTTCCCTACAAACTCAAGACTCCACATCTTCAAAATCACAAAGTCGCCTTACTCAAACAATTTTCTTCTTTGTTTTAGAATTCTCCTTTCTTATATAGAAGATTTTATCTTAACATTCTTGCTGCAGGAAATATATGCATCGTTTGCGAGCCTTATTAGCAGCACAATTACTCGTACATTTACTTAAACAGTGCGCTTACAAAGACTTCAAAATCACCTTTTGAGTATATTGCCGCTTACATCAGAGACGTCATTAACGTTACCTCTAAGATTAAAAACAAGCAAGAGGTACCCAGCAATTTATGCTGCTACGCGCAACAATCATTGACACAAGCAATATAAATATTCCTCTAACAATTTGTTTCCACTCATTTCGTTTATTTAGACATTCGGAATAAGTCCCGCCGAGGCCGATGCCATTGTCGAAAGGGGAGTACCAGAAGCCGCCAATGGTGTTACAGCTCCAGTGTGCGACCTTCCCAAGCTTTTCCGTGAACTTCGTGCTCTTGGTTGCAAGACAGCTCTTTGCACAGCTGATAGCAGGTAGCGTTACTTAATTAGAGCGATTCTTCCCTGTAAAAACCCCAGCCTTTTAAGAAGAGCAACTGAAGAACAAATGCGTGTGCTTGGGATTTCAAATATGATAGACTGCATTGTCTGTGGTAATGATATAGGCATCATTCCAAAACCAAGCCCTCACTGTGCTGTTCAAATATGCAAGCGGGTCGGAGTGCCTTTAAATGTAAGTTCAAATTT